GCGCCGGTTCGGATCCCACATGAGGGCCACTGGCGCTGCCTTCTACAGCTAGGATGGTCAACAGCTCGACGTGGAGCTGGGGTGCCGTGAGTCGCTGGTGACAGCATGGGCTGCAGCCCCTGATACAGTGGGCTGCCATAAGCTACCGTGTGTGGCCGGCAGCCAGCGTGAGCGTCCCGGCAGCTGGTGTGAGCTGCCAAGAGCCGCAGTGAGCGGGCCGTCCAGAGACCGGCGACCGATCTGCCTCACCCGGGAAGAACGCAATGATGGTACCAACATGGGCCAGTGAAGCAACATCCTCCACAACTACATTGAAGAACAAAAGGACAGCAACTTGTTTGTTCCCCTTCCCCTACTCCCCAGTGCTGTTCCCCTCCCCCAATTCCCCAATAAAATCTTTAAAAAAAAAAAAAAGCAGAAATGGGGCTGAGGACTGTTTCATTCTACAATAAGATCCATCCATGGGGTGGGAGGACAACAGCTCACTGAGATGCATTTCAATAAATTGTCACTTTTCTATAACTATTCAAAAATTGTGTAACGCATTTATTTTGATCAATTGTATACCAGTAATAATCCTAAAGAAAATATTAAAACTTAGTTTCAAGGTCCCAACAAAATTAAAAAGCTTAAATTATTACATTTCTTTTAGTCTCAGAGGAATACGAGGTGTGACCAACAAATACAGTGAATGTTTAAATTAAAAAAAAATTTATTACAGTAACAGACACATTGCCATTAATCCCCCTCAAAATATTCCCCCTCACTTTGAACACACTTATCCCATCATTCTTGCCACTTTCTAAAGCAGTTCTGAAAGTCCTCTTTCCTGAGTGTCTTTAGTTGCGCTGTCATGGCCGCCTCAATGTCCTGAATCGATTCAAAATGTTTACCTTTCATGGTTGTTTGGAGTTTGGGGAAGAGCCAGAAGTCACATGGTGCCAGATCCAGTGAATATGGTGGATGAAGACATACCATAATGTTTTTATTTGACAGAAATGGCCATACCAGAAGAGATATGTGACACAGGGCCTTTCCATCGTGATCACAAAATATGGTGAATGCTGCTGCCAAGTGCCATCCAACAAAAAGGCAGGGATCTTCAATACAGGGCATGGCGCACTGAACCTTAGAAACAGCGTGTGACAAGTTTCAACTTGTTCGGTGCAGTTGGTTGGGTGTGAGCTACGGTGGAGAGAAGGTGTGTTTTAAAGTGTCCTCCATCATGACAACACTCCATGTCACACATCGCTTCTGGTATACGGCAATTTCTGTAAAATAAAAACATTACAGTGTGTCCTCATCCACCTTATTCACCAGATCTGGCACCGTGTGACTTCTGGCTCTTCCCCAAAGTCAAAATGATTCGGGACATCGAGGCAGCCACGACAGCACAACTATAGACACTCACGAAAGAGGACTCCCAGAACTGCTTCAGCAAGTTACAAGAACAATGGGATAAATGTGTTTGAAGTGAGGGGGATTAATGGCAATGTGTCTTCACTGTAATAATTTTTTTTTAATTTAAACATTCATCGTATTGTCTGATCACAGCTCACAGGACAGGCTAATCAATATGAGATTTTCAAGCATTAAATATACTGCATTGTGATAAAATTCTGTGTGGGAAATAATATGAAAACACAAGTTCAATTAAAAAAAACCTGACAGGGCCAGCCGAGTGGCACCACGGTTAAGAACTGGCTTGGGACGCCAGAGGGCCCCGGTTCGGATCCCACAT